ATCGCTCCACCAACTAAGAACGGCCATGCACCACCAACCACCAAATCGAGAAACAGCTTTCAATCTGTCAATCCTTACGGTGTCCGGGCCGGGTGAGTTTTCCCGTGTCGCGGTATGCACTGTACATCCCTGGCCCTTCCTCTCCAAGTGGCACTTTAAGTGAAAGCGGATTTCCGAATAGCCAAATAGACATGCATGCATGCAAATAAAGCAACAATAAAGAAAAAGCAAACAAGCAAGAAACAAACAAATTTGCATAGCAGTCAGTTATATTGGGAACAGTAAGAGTGAAGGAGGCTTGGAAGTCAGCTGCATGCAGCCACTCTTCACTGAACCCAAGAGAACCCTTTGCTACGGGTATTTGGGAGGGATCGCAATTTCCATTTCTGATCGCTTCGATTGATTTAAACTGTCTTAAGAGGTAGTGATTCCAGACCATACAACTCGCCAATTTTGAGCTGTTTCTGCTGCTATGATACGGAGGGTAAGTGGGGAAAAGCTGTCGTCGGAAATGCTCCCCCCCCTCTTCGCCTCGTCACTCATTTCCAAAACTTGCAAAAATTGAGCGAGCACAAGTTCACAAGCACGTCATCCTGAAGGGCATGAAGTTCTCTACCAGTCAGTGGGAGCCGTTGAGGAAGCAATTTATCCTAGAAATTTTTACTCAGAAAAGTAAGGCCATCATTTGTTGACACAAATACTCACAAACTCACAAATGACGGGGTCTTTTCAACAATGCCACAAACGCAGCTCTTTAGAAAGCCTGCGCTAAATTACTAGTCTTGGCTAACACGTCAAACATACACGAACTCCTCTGTTAAGGTGTGGTACTGGAGAAGTCTGAACTACTCGGCGGCAAAGGATTTCATGAGGCTATTGGCCGGGTCATTAACGATCCCAAGTAAGTGCTAACATTTCATTTGTGTGTAGGTTTGTTTAGTCTGGAGGTCGCTGTTTCTCTTTTGGTTGATCCGAAGTAATTCAGCCTGCACTATTCAGGTACCAAGTCTCTGCTACCCGAATCAGCCGCTTATTATCGCGACGTCCATTCAGCCCTGCTGATAAGTTGGTGAAAACCGTTGAACTCGCTGCCGAATTTGGCAGTTTACCCGAAACTAAAAACGCAGGCAGAAATCTCGGATTCATTGTATACCACAATATTGACCTACTTCTAATTTTAACTGTTGTATTAGTTTTGTTGATTCAGTCTACCATTGTACATTGTTATGCGATTAGCTGGGCGCTGCTTTTCATCAAGAAAAGAGAAAACGCAGTAGGTTAGATGTAGTTTGATTTTGACCGGTTGGAATTGTGATACATATTCACTTTTATCGAATATAAATTATGTCTGGTTCGGGTTGAGAGCTGAATATGGCACTGCTTCGCTGTTCAACATATGCAGTAACATTGACGAGAGATTGTCACATGAATTAGTAGCTCCACTTTGGCTACAGTTGCGGAAAACAACTTGGAACAAGCCCGGGTTGCGCGCTTTATATTAGCTTTACCTAAAAGTCCTAAACTAGGGCGCGTCGAGCGGTTGTAGGTGGTATAATAATCTGCTAAGTTCATGTGTGTGTGCGCGCCGTTTCAGTATCGTAGAGCCTGTTAGTGGGATGTTGGTACCGAGAGTATAGGGAGTAATCGGGAACACTGTGGGTGGATGGCAAAAACGATATCAGTTGATAGAATCTTATAAGGGGAACATCGCCAGGTTCATGTCGCAGTAATAGTGGGACGTTTGTTCCAAGGTGCGATAAAGCGAGTGGGACTTGAACATTATTGGTGGGTTCCAAGATGTGGTGATAGCAATGCATCAGAGATGGCAGCGGCAAGTCTACATAAGCAAATCTTCTGCACCCTTAACGAAATACGATCGATAGGACTACAGTTCGCACTTTCAGTAGTTGACCTATGTAATCCTATTCCCTTATCTGTAGCGACGTCATATCCA